TTCGGCCAAGCTCGGTCTGAAGAATATATTTTATTTTTCAATGTTAAATAATTAGTCAAATCGACGTTTTACGAGGGTGGACCTAATTTTTTCGATGTTTTCACGTAAATTTTACATAAAATTTAATATGGCACTTAAAACTAGCCCACTTAATGAGAACTATTGTAATAAATTTGGATAGTCAACAAGATTTTTATACCATCAGTTTCTATTTTAATTATTTTGATAAGATCGGATTCATAAATCCTTTTCTATCTTGATTGATGCTTTCCTAGTGGATTCAGCATGCGGCTAGGGGAAATGGCTCTGAAAGGGTTTTTATTGTTGCTAAATAGCTTTTATTGTAGCGTTCGTCATACAATCTTTTGCAGTAAATCAATCCTGAAGAGTTTTGAGAATACACTCTTCAGAACCTTCTCCAGGGTGGGCCAACTAGACATATTCTAGTCTTAATGAGGTTTTGGTGGATGCATTAATGACAAAATAGCCTTGACCAGGGTTTTATGAATGTTGTTTTGAAGTTGCTTTGTAGTATTTCATAAAACTTGAAATGTACGACTTCTGGTTGTCTGGGCTGCGTTCGGATGCGTTTGAAGTCCTCGCGTTTGGAGCACTGTCTGTCGGAACCTCGATGTGCACCATCACAGTTGGCGCATTTTAACGCCACGGCTCCATCCGCAGAGCAGTCAGAAGTGGCGTGTTCGTGAGCGCAGTTGCTGCAGCGTGGCTTGATGTTGCAGTTGCGGGTACCGTGTCCAAAATTGAGGCACCTTTGGCACTGAGTTACGTCACGACGACCACCACGGTATGGCCATAGAGGTAACTCTAAGACCACTGGGTCCCGAAGAAAATCATTATTATTTTTGGCTCACTCAGTACCAGAACAACAGTCCCAAGCAGTCCCAAGCTATTTCACTCACCCCTGCATGTTCTGCATGAATCCACACACCCCTGATGTTATCTGTTAAACTTTCATAGCGAATCAAAACAAACATAGTGTAGTAATAGAATTTCAACTAGAATAGGGTACGTTAATCGTTTGCTTGGGACCAATAGGCTACTAAAGTGGTGAGCCAATTTAAAATCGTTAGTTTCGTATTGATTGTTGGTATGGCTCCCACCGTACGATGATGGAGTAGATCGATCGGATGGCTTGCAGAGCATTGAGCGTCACCGTCCCTTTCTGGAAGTGCACCAGGAAAAGACAATCCGGGTACGTCTTCACGTTGTCGTCTCTCCTTGTCATTCGGAAGACAGCGATTAGGGCTAGCTTGTACCGGTTTTTGATTTCAGCTTCGACCATCTTGGGGTCGAAGTTTGGTAGACTTCTGATGACTACCTTGAAGGGCTTCTCACCGGGGATGTCGTGCGTGAAGAATTCCGCCTTGGAATCCTTCAGATATTTCAAAGGCCACCTCGTACTCCGCTTTCGTTCGGAGCATCACCTTGATGCCGATCCTGCCGAGCTTAAACTCAGCTGCAACGCCCAGCGATAAGAGATCGCCAATCAGCGTGTTGAGTGGCACTTGCTTCACCACCAGTGGAGGAAGCTTCATTTTTGCTGCACTCGGGCTGGCAGCAGTGTCGACGGCGTTGCTGAGATCACCAATGACGTTGACGTTCGTCGCGGTGGTATCGCCCCGTCCACTCGCACCATCGGACTGGGCCTGATTTTTCTTCCTCTTCTTAGACCGCTTCACCGTGGCTGAGGTGGTATTCCCTACATCGGTGGAAAGAGTAGCGTACCTATTCGAAATAGGTACACTCAAGCTACCCTCATCGCTGTTCTTCTTCTCCGTTTTCTCTCAGAGCCTGCTCTGGGAACGCTGTCTTCCCATCACACGAAGCGACCGACACTACTGACGACGCGATTAAACCAACAATCAATACGAAACTAACGATTTTAAATTGGCTCACCACTTTAGTAGCCTATTGGTCCCAAGCAAACGATTAACGTACCCTATTCTAGTCGAAATTCTAGTACTACGCAATGTTTGTTTTGATTCGCTATGAAAGTTTGACAGATAAAATGAGGGGTTATTGGTTTTTCCTATGTTTCGAGGGGTGAATCGATTAGCTTGGGACCGAAGAGAGTACCAGAGCTGAGCCAAAAAGTTGAGCACGTTATTTCGGGACCTTCTAGTCTAAACTGCGAATGTTTGGAACAAACTAGAAAATTTAGAACAACTCGACGTTCAAGCAGAGAATGATGACAGCTATGCGTCGGTCAGGAGAGTTGTGATTTAGTGTAACTTTTAATCTATTTAGATTTGAAAATCCATTGACTGTATATTGTCGTTGCGACAAGGGGTAGTTCACTCCTCGGTTCACTCGATTTAAACCAGCAATATAATATTTTTGCCAATGGATTTTGTATCAGTGTACACACTACAGTCATAGAGGTAACTTTAAGACCAGAAGATCCCGAAGAAACGTGCTCAACTTTTTGGCTCAGCTCTGGTACTATCTTCGGTCCCAAGCTAATCGATTCACCCCTCGAAACATAGGAAAAACCACTTACCCCTAATTTTATCTGTCAAACTTTCATTTTAATCAAAACAAACATTGCGTAGTACTAGAATTTCGACTAGAATGGGGCACGTTAATCGTTTGCTTGGGACCAATAGGCTAGTCAAGTAGTGAGCCAATTTAAAATAATTAGTGCTACAGTTGACTATATCATAGAGATAACTATAAGACTAGTAGGTCCCGAAGAAACGTGCTCAACTTTTTGGCTCAGCTCTGGTACTATCTTCGGTCCCAAGCTAATCGATTCACCCCTCGAAACATAGGAAAATCCACTTACCCCTCATTTTACCTTTCAAACTTTCATAGCGGATCAAAACAAACATTGTGTAGTACTAGAATTTTTACTAGAATGGGGTACGTTAATCGATTTGCTTGGGACCAATAGGCTAGTCAAGTAGTTAGCCAATTTAAAATCGTTAGTTTCGTATTGATTGACTATACTGTACCAAACCACCGTCCTCTGTTCGAATGAAACCTCAGACCATTCAAATCGAAACATCGAAATCGCCTTTTTGAATGATAGCTGCAACCGGATGACGGTTATTTTGAAATCAGATGATTTTCCTCTCGAATACAGGATGAAAATTGTTATGAAAAGGGATAGGGCTTTTAGTTGGAATGCGTAATGCTCTCTGCAGAATGATAGTCATCTTAAATTGAAATGCATTTGGTATTGGTTCAGCCCTTTAACGCAAATCATTCAAAACGTTGATGTAAATAATTCTATCGAACGTCATTTCAGTGCCAACATTTCAAAGGGGCGTAATTGCTTTTGTAAACAATGGCTTTAGCCGTCGATTTCTCGCAAATAAAAGCCCACCCTTCCAAATTACCAATGCTAGCTGGTACAGGAAACATTTCTCTACCTGCTGGTGTCATTAATTTTTATGAGTGAGCTTTCATTCACGAGAAATCGACGACTAAAACCATTGTTTACAAATGCAACTACGCCCCTTTGAAATGTTGGCACTGATTTGCTGCTCTGAGCAGACAAACGAGGTGGAAGCATAGCCATCGCTATCAGGGGTGGTACGAACATTAGTAAACCGTGGAAACCGTAGATTGCCTATTTCGTGGTGGAGGAAGATTCCTCTACCAATAAGTAATTTTGGTATCCATGATAATTGGCTGTTAATGGCAATTCACAATGAAAATGTAAAGCATTTGCAAGTCATCCTATCCTTAAGTTGTTGTCCTCTGAGCCCTGTACACAGCAAAAAAATGTAATATCGATCAACGTAATTCAAGCTGATGTATGAAATAATGATGTAATAGCAAAACGCAGATACAATATTACATCAATGGATGTAATTTTGTTCGCAAAATCGATGTACATCGTACAATGTGATATTACACAACCGATGGATTGACCTGGTTGCAGTAGTTTCGATGTAATATTCAACAACTTTTTTTGCTGTGTATGTTTAACAGACAATTTTCAAATAAATATCATCCTTTATTTGGAGGACAGTCATCAGTTGACGACGAATTCAACCATAAGGAGATCATAAGAAATTCGACAGCATTGTTAAAGGGCTCGAGCAGTACAATAAGCAGTCGAAGTATTGCGGATGGTTTCGCTCAGTGTACACCGCATAAACGAAAACGTGCACCACCTGGTGGAGATGCTCTAATCAGGCTAACAAAAGTTGCAATTCGACAGTGAGCATGCATAAGGGCCTATACGCGATGATCGATTCTCTTCGTCGATTTTCTCTTTTGTTAATAACTCGCTAGATTTAACGTTTCTCGGTGCGTTTGCTGTTGCTTTTGATAGCCAATACAACCTTTTACTACTCTGCATTGAACAAATTCTAGAAAATTGTTTCGCTTAGCTGTAGCAATGCAAAGAGAAAATCGATGAAGAGAATCGATCATCCCGTATAGGCCTTTATGCATGCTCACTGTCGAATTGATCAGTTCACGAACACGGCGAATGAGAACGACTCAAATTTGAGTTTAGTTCACTCATAATCGCTAAAAGTGCAGGAACGCAGCGATGAGTTAAATTTGTCTCATGGTTTCCTGTGGAAAACCTAAAAAATCTGCCGGAAAATGAGGAAATTGACGAAAATTTTATTCAATCTCGGAGTAGTACCAATAGACTGAGTGAATCCAATCTTTACTTTTCTCAAATTCGGGAATTTTTCCCTGGAAAATCCTGGGAAAACATGAGGCAAATTAACTCATCGCTGAGTTCCTGCACTTTTGGCGATTATGAGTGAACTAAACTCAAATTTGAGTCGTTCTCATTCGCCGTGAAGATTTGCCGCACTCTTCTCTCACCCGTAAGTTTTGACAGTTTTGGGTGGTTTGTTTTGGCTCCCATTCGTTGCTATCTCTTTTACTCAGAAGCAAAATGATAGGGAGCAAAAAGTGAGGTTGGGGACCGTGCACTGATCTATCCAAACATGAAAAAACAACGGTTGTCAAATTTCCACATAAACAAAAACGTTTTCTCCTGTTTTTCTACCAACCTACTGAAACATCTCAAATCAGTTTCAATCGTTTCAAGTGTCCGTGTTTCTTCCACATACAGTTTCCACTCCAAGATGCAGTGTGCCGTCCCCAGCTGTATAGGATGGGCCAAACGGGTGATCTCCTTCCCACAGAACCTTTTGCTACAGAGTCGCTGGAAGCGAGCCATTGAAGCCGGCACCGGACTTCGCATCCCGACGTACCACTGCGGTGCTCTTTGCTCGTGGCACTTTGGCGACAATCAGACGGAAACTCATGGCTACTGGGAACCGTACCGCTTCCTGCATAGGTGAGTGATACAAGTTTTGGTTGGTGTGGAATCGGAGGGCTCATTTTTTTTTTGTTCCCTAGGAGTGGGAGGACGGTAGAGGTAGGAAGTTGCCGATTCTGCCTGCGATTCGATGAACGGAAGAAGATGGTTTCCGACAAGGAAGTTTTGGAGAATGAAGAGTTGGTTGATTTGGTGAATTATGCATTAAAAATTAATTTGGCTGAAGATTATATTCTGAAGGACATTTGCGAGGAATGTGAAGCAAAGATGCAAGTGGTCGATAAGTGGATGAAGAGCAGCAAGAAAAGTGAAAAGGAATACAAAGCTTTGGAAATTGCCACCAGGAATAGCATTTTCAAACCGGTAGATGAAGCGCTAGTGCCGGATAGAGCTACGGTAGAGGAAGCTACGGAACCTCTTGAATATAACACGATCAGTTTCGAAATTGAATGCATGAAGGAAGAAGTTGAAATTGTGCAAGCATCGATAGAGCAGGAGCCAGAGCGCATCACAGATGAACGCATTGTGACACTTATCCATGATTACACGATGGAGGAAGTGTCGAAAGCTTCTCCTAAGAAGGTAACGAAAGAGGAAATTCATCTGAGTAGATCCTTTAAACCAATCGTCAAACAGTTCAACTTTCCCGCAAATACTCACAGTAAGCGTGGTCCACCTCGCCGAAAACCAAAAGTTACCCAGGAAAAAGTCAGCTACCGAGAGTACCTCAGCAAAAAGTGCCACGTCTGTGATACACTTCTAGACACTCCTGAAGACCTGGTGGCTCATTTAACGCAGCAGCACTGTAATGGAGCGCCTTATAAGTGTTCCGAGTGCGACAAATCATTCAAAATCATAACTTCCTACAATTGGCACTTGGGATTCCACGATCATTCTAACCGACCACTGAGATGTTGCTACTGTACAATGGGTTTCAAATACAATTACAGCCTGTTGAGTCACGAAAATCGCCAACATGGAGCAAGTCATCAAATTCATGTAAAGAAGAAGCCTACCAAAAGGAGCTTCCCATGTTTGAAGTGTGACAAAGCGTACAAAACGAACTATGACCTTTTGGATCACGATCGTTACGTTCACCAGAAGCTTCCCGGCACAATGTGCAAGCTGTGCGGTAAACACTTCCGTAATCGAACCTCCCTTCGGAAACATCATTTGGTTCACACTAGCGAGCGGCCTTACAATTGTTTGCACTGTGATGCGGTGTACAGAAATATTACCAACCTTGCAAAACACGTAGCACGAAGCCATGCACAGGACGCTTCAACTGAGGAGCTAACGAGGTGAAACGCGGCAATGATGCGGTAGAATGTGAGGTGTGCTCTGTGATTTAGTTAAGCACATCGAGTCGGCACATTTGGGCATAACGTAGCCGAATAAAGGTAAATTAAGTATTCAAAAATCTTGGCAACGTCTTATACATGCGATGACCCGCCCTTTCAAACAAGCACAGTTTATTACAAAATATAAATTTATTGTCCATCTCAATATCATTAACAAACAGCATCACTTTTTGGCCACTTCAGATTTATCCACCCCGGAACTACCCTCGGAATCCTTTACCCCACCGAAGTAATTATCTGTTTTGAAAATCGCCGGTGGATCGTACATCCCATTGGCATTCCTATTGGTCTGCTTCTCCGTAGGCTTTGGCTTCCCGAAAATGTTCAGTGACTTCAGCAGCACGTTGATCGTCTTGTCCGGAATGTCCAATTCTTCCTCCGCAATCTGAACCTGCCGTTCCACCACGTCCAGATTTTTCGACACCATCGCAACGAAACGCTCTAGCGCATCCAACCGGTCGCACAGGCTATCAAACTCCGGCTTCATTGCCGCTATCCTGGGAATGTTCTGCTGGACGGCTAGCGACGATTCCTCTTTGACCAGTTCCAGAATGTTTTCAAACTCCTCCATCCGGAGTAGCATCTCTTCGATACTGGTGCCGATGGGTAGGATCTAGAAGGGAAACATGATTTCGATTATTCTGGGTGGGTGTTACATCCAGCTGGCTTTACCTCTGATTGAAGATTGGACGCCTTGAAGTAGTTGGAATAGTCTTCTGCTGGCTGTTCTTCAGCCATGGTGGATGGAAGTAATTCTGTACCTACTTTCACTACGATATAGTTTGATGAAGAATTACATTATAAGCTAGTGAATGCAACAGGACCATCAACAATCTACCGCTAAACTGAAGGTCAAATCGAAACCAGATTTGATTTACGTTGAATTGTGTCCCCATTCACTTTTGTGTTTGCTTTTCTGTTGTGTTTGTTCAAGCTTCTTTTTTGATCGTAATGATAATCATACGATTGGGTATGAGTTTACTCGAGGTAGTGTATTTGCGAGGGGTTATTCACAGCAGGTCTATGCTTTTTGCCTGTGATGAGTACTGTGTTCATTCAAAAATCATTCTTCGTAGATAGAATTTTTATAGGTTGATTTTGTCTCCCAATGAATCATAGAATTTTGAAGGGACGACTCTTTCAAACATATGGTTGAACACTTTTTTTTCTAGAGTTTACTAATTATTTTCAGTCCATAATATAGAATCCGAAAAAAATCGATTAGCAACTGTATTAATGTATACCTGTATGAGAACCATTGTTTGTCGTGATCCAATCCACAAAAGTTGTTTAATTTCATCGGCCAGCTGGGCAAGCCTATCCCATTCACTAAAAGGTCGAAGCTAAATTGATAATAACCGAAGACTACAAATCAAGAAGACTGGCAACTGTTCCCTTCTCCCATACAAACGTCAAAAATCACTGATAACAGCGCCTCTGACAATCAAAGGTGGAACTTTAAAGCACAAGTGTTAGTGAGACTACTCATTAACAGTTGCTGTATGTGTGACCTAATGTCACCGAAACGAATAATCATAACACGGTACTCGTTCTTGTTTTTGTTTTGCTCTACAAAATTTCACTCCAAACCGAAAAACTTGTCATGGTGGATCAAGTAGAGGATGGAAACTCGGATCGATACCTAGTGAAAGTAACTTTTACTTGTGTACCATGAACCGAAATATTGTTTATTTTGCCTGTTGAAAGCAATCAAATAGGGGAATTTACGTATTCTCGGCAACCTAAGCAACGACCTTCTTTCTATAGCCTTTTTCTCTATGGAACGCACACATATGCAGTATTGGTTTGTTTACAATCTTTTGCTGCCAGCTGCTCTAACAATTTCAGTCGAAAGAATTGTCAAAAACAGTTTTGAAACACTTTTACAAAGCTCCAATCTTCTCTAGTGAGAGCGAGTATTGTCGGCAACCGTTCCATTTGAACTGCATGTAAATCTGCTGTTCTATTATCGGCAACTCGAAATCAGCTACAATTTGTAGTGCGTGTGTTTCATTTCAAAAAACCCTGCTAGATTGCTTTTTCTCAGTGGTAAAAATATAGTAAAATTGAAGCTGAAAGCATAAAGAATCGTTTGCATGCATTCAGCGAAGTGTTTTCGCAAGAAAATCCAGTGAAAATAGTGTTTCAATTTGGGTTGCCGAAAATAGTCTGTCATGCCGAAGCCGTCATTTCCACTATAAGGAATTGGCGGCTTCCACCTCCGTTGAGTGAACTGCCGTCATTCGAAAGCTGCTGAAAATTAAAGGATTGAAAAAAAGGAAAGATCCGGTAGCTACATCACGATCCAACGGAAGGCGTAGCAGGATCTAATGTTGGAGAAAATGAAATTGAAAGGTTGAAGGACTACAATCCCAAACTGTGTATATTTCCATTTTAGATGTTGTCAGAACATGAATCCACCGGATAGTGATCCTTTGTATGCTTTTACAGTTCTTGGAATCGGACAACCCGTTCCAGAGAATGATAACAACAATGTCGGATTGGCCAGTGACATTCAAATGGTCAGCGAGTACTGTGCCAAGTTGCCGAGCGTCACAACTCAACTCCCCCCGTTGTGGCCAGGTGCCAGAGCCACGCGGAACGGGCATGCATTTTACTAATGCACCATACGAATGCTCATAAATGCATCACTTAGGAAAGGAGGAAGATAATTCTGAGATAGCAATTTTTTTTAATTAGTATGTTTATTTGGAAGGCTCAATAGCGTTAGGATCAGGGGAGGAGCTTGGGGGTAAGGTTTCGTCACAGACAAACAGACATAACACTCGCAAGTTATTCATCGAACAAGCATTTAACGGACAATTTAAAAGTATCGCAGTTGATAGTACCGCCTGATACCTGTGGCACGCATTATCAATTCCCTTGCGTTTGACGTTTACACAATACCGCTATCTGTTCAGTGTAGTGCCCACCACAGTGTACTCAACAGGTGGCGGTAATATTTTAACGACGATGTTTTACAGTTGCAAATATTCAATGTGTTATGTCTGTTTGTCTGTGGTTTCGTTGTCTCATCAGAGCGTTGCCGCCAGTATGAATGGTAGTCAAAACAAATTTACTTACGTTCAATTTCAGCAGGATTTTTAACTCGTTGCCAGCATAAAGCAAAGAAAGAAACGTTTCACTGTTTACGACAATCACAACAAAACCAATAATTGACATCTAATTATTTCTACCTATGTGTGTGAATGCACTTGTGAATTAACACACACCATCATATATAGGTTCCACTTTTGTTCAGAAGAGGCGTTGCCGTTACTGTCTCCTGATTTTTGGCAGAGTTGCCAGTCTTCTTGATTTGTAGTCTTCGGTGTTATGAAACGTGCGGGCTTTAACATGCGGGGCACGATCTTCAATAAGTCCAGCCAGTTCATCTGCTTCGATGACGACGTGGACATTGTCGGAAGAACGTTTCAGGCCGTGGCGGAGCAGTACACCAGGCTGAAACGTGAAGCAGAGAAGGATGGATTAAAGGTGAGTACGTCGAAGACAAAGTATCTGTTAGCTGGAGGAACCGAGTGGGATAGGGCTCGCATTGGCAGAAGCGTGACGGAGATGAGTTCGAGGTGGTAGATGAAGTTGTGTACCTCGGATCATTGGTGACGTCGGATAACAACTCCAGCAGAGAAATTCGTCGGCGTATTATTGCCGGAAGTCGTGCTTACTACGGACTCTACAAGACCCTGAGTCGGTAGCTCTCTACGGGCACGAGACGTGGACGATGCTCGAGGAGGACCTGCAAGCACTGGGTGTTTTCGAACGACGAATGATTAGGACCATCTTTGGCGGGGTATGTGAGAACGGTGTATGGAGGCGAAAGATGAACCACGAGCTGGCGCAACTCTATGGCGAACCCTGTATCCAAAAAGTTACGTAAGCTGGACGGGTACGATGGGCGGGACACGTTTTAAGAATGCCGGACAAAAATCCCGCAAAAATGGTGTTTGCCTCGAATCCGGCTGGTACAAGACGAAGAGGAGCACAGCGAGCAAGGTGGTTAGATCAAGTGGAGCAGAATCTTGGAAGTGTGGGACGGTCAAGAAATTGGAGACAAGCAGCCACGGACCGAGTGAATTGGCGTAACATTGTGATGCAGGTGCAACCCTGAGGGATGTCGGACCAGGATCAGCAAAGCCGAATTTCGAACCAGGGTGACCCCAACGGAAACCGGAATAACTCTAAAACCATGTATTGATTGCTTTTTTTCTGACGGGTTCTCAAACTTGAATAGATTCCCGAGAAAATGCAACTTGTGTAGAAAAAGATTGAGAAATTATGTTTTTAGAGCTAATAGAATGATGAAATCTATGCTAGAATCTATGCAAATATAGACGTCAGGCACGCAAAGGTTAATCAAATTATCACGTACGAGAACATGAGACCGCTCTGGTCGGCTCTGGACCTCACAGCACTGATTGAGGTTGCATTGAAGCTGTTGATATTGACAAACAAATAAATTAATAAATGTACTAGTTGCCTCATCTTGCCCCAACTTACCCTACAGTACATATACCATTGATACGTATTGTACAGTCGTTAACCGGAAAAAATGGCGCATATTGGCGGTATTTGTTTATAGTTGAAGATGCTAATTTCAAATAACAGACTGTAGTGGTAATTTTTATACGATAGATGGAGTAGATGAAAGCATAGAGTTGATAGTTCCGTTAGAGTACGGCAGTGTGAAGATTGCATATAGATTTTAGAATAGCGAGCTAGGACAACTTTTAAGGAAGGTACAAATCGGTTTTTTCATCTCTCTTATGGTGAGGGGTGTGTGTCCCCGCAACCACTGGCAAAAAGAGATGAAAACCGACCCGCTCAAGTACCAACGGTGTGTTTGAAACAGTTCTACCGATTTTTTACCGCACTTCAGTTGTTATTTGAAGGAAGGCATCCAGTCGTAGGTTTGGAAATTGCAACTATTGTTTACCCCTACCACGATATGTGCTCCTGTTGTTTAAACGAATAACCGATCATATTATAGTGTAATGATAATTTATATTAAATTTCTGATTTTTTGACATAGAACTACTAGGGGCATCCCACTCTAAACTTTAGCTCCAATACTCATTAAGTATTGTTTAATCTCTCTTAAGTATTTTTAAGTATTTTCAAATATTTTTATCATGACGTTATTTTGATCATAGTAAGTCTTGACTATAACATCGGTTTCTAGTGAAATTGTTTTTCATGTCGATGTCAAACATCACGCGTGAATTTTGCAAATTGTGTACCGAAGAGTTACTGATTCATACTGATAGGATAAAATAGGTATTTTGAGGGTTTGATTATAATTTAATTTACTACTACTACTACTCATTTTATATTAAATATTTTATTTGCAGACATCATTCAACGGGGCTTTGGTGAAAAAGCTGCTGGACGTACTATCATTTTCATGTAGCCTAACCATAGCGCTCTTGAAGTCTGAATCTATATCACAATTAGAAGAAGACATGAGGACGATGACAGAGTCAATTCGGAAACGGCACGATGTCAATTATGCAGACCTGCAGACTTCAGTGAAACCCCGAGAACTTCCACCTGTTTACCCAATTGTTTGAGTAATCGGCCTTCGGTCCAGTAACATTAGGTTTAAGAAAACTCTGTTAATCTAAAATTGAACTTCGGCTTTTTTGAAGCTTATGCAAATGAGCTTTGACAAATAAAATACACAAATATATATTAAATAAACCATGACTTTGGTTTACATTTGGCTCACTGTCATCTTTCACATGTTTGCCTTATACTGAATTTGATCAAAGGATTCAATTTAGTCACTTATCTATTTCTATCTATCCCAAGTAACATTGAAAATTTTATGGAGGTTTTAACGCATGCTACAAATCTAAATCATGGTCTAGATAACCCCTATAAAACCGAACTTGTTACTTGGG